GCGCTGAAGCATATAAGGCATTCTAAAGGATAAGCATAACAATCCCTAAATGTTCTACTATTTGATTTTATTGGATATTTTTAACTGTTAAGCTTGGTTTATTTTCATACAGTTATTTGAAAACTTTAGTTCATAGAATGTTATCTTTCCGATTTTTTCCCTCCCTCATCTTCAAAGTTAGGTTTGTGGGTAAAGAGCAGAAACTATATTCAGTTGTTCGAATGTACATATATGCATTAAATTACAGCGTAATTTAAATTCTTTTCGTAAAATCGTGAAATTGGGAAATTATTTTCACGTTTGATCTTCTGCCACCCGAAGGAAACGTCAGACAGATACTAAATCTTTTGTTAATAGAAAAACAGCATGTAATTCAAAGTAAAAAGTTATAGTGAATGCAATAAGAGAAAGTTATTGTTAATTAATTTTAGTTATGTAAGTTTGTATTCAAAACTGATGCACAAATTTACATATTGAGCTACAGCTTAGATATTGTTGCATATGGAAAACAAAGATAGGATACGTCCACATTGATCTAACGATTCGTTACCAGAAAGTTTGAATTTTTAGAATCAAAGGTATTGTCAGCAAATAATATGATCAAAGCTGATTGATCAAATTTTGATTAAACTTTTAACGGTAGGGAAAACAAACAAACAAGATATACATTGGAATTCACGTAATTTTTCATTACTTTTAAAAATGGAAAAAGAAAATGATAACTAAAACTGGGGCTGGTTGAGGAATTGATACATTGAAATCATGAATTGATAGAGACACAGCTGGTGGTTTTCTAACATTATACTCTCGTTTAATTAATAATGGGGCTTTTTAGCTAATCCCACTATGTTTTATTTTATTAGAAAAGTCTTTTTAAAGTTCCAATTTTGCAAACGATGAATTAAAACATCAAACTAAAAACAAAGTTATGGAGAATATATATAGAATACAAATGTGTTTAAGACTATTGGCTTTCAAAGCTAGATGATTAAAATAAACTAGATGCAAATAGCTGTGCAAAACACTACAGGTCTTCTTTATTAAATGCAGTGATTTAAAGATCGGTCAGGATGCTAATGTTGCCAAGTTTATGTGATAATAATCTATACTAACTCTCTTCCAGACACGTTGCATGGCTACAATGTTTCCCATACCAGTCTCATCTTAGAAGGTTAATGTCTGGTCCACAGAGTAGGCTTAGACGTGTATTTGGATAAAAAACTTTATAAAGGTCATATCGTTTCCTGACACCAGCTGGCCTTGGGCTCTTTGCAAGTTCAATCTTCAAACGACCGGTTCTGATTCTGCCAGGAAAACCAAATAAATGCATCAAGCTAGATGGTGGAGGAGCCCAAAAAAGCTTGGACAGCGACATTATAGCTGTATGCAGTTCTTCACCAGCTTTGCCTTATGATAGCACGTGACAGTTGATAAGTCAAATACCTTTCTGGTGGTCACCATACAAACTTTTTGTTTTGGTATCCCTAGGTCATTCAAGGATTAAGTTGCTAATGGCACTTCACATTACTTAACCTGAAATATCAACAAAAAATAAAACAGGCGGTAAGTGCTGACTGGAGAAAGACTTAAATAACAACTCTATATCGTTTTATTTCTCTCGATTGACAAAACCGAAGCCAACATTTATCAAAGTAATTGTAGAGCAAAGTATAAAAATTGCGATTGTTATTGTGTGAACGCCTTTTTTTAAACGTGATTATAATCAATTATGTTTGTCATTAAATAGTATGGTATTAGGGTTATTCGGCCCCTTAGGGTTTTCCGAGAAGAGTGTATTATAGTATTTTAAACACACAAGGCCCGCCATATTCATTGACGACAATGCGTTTTGCTCAATACCATTGTTGTTGAAATGCCATAAAGATTGTTCTTCTCGGAAAAACCATTAAGAAACCGAATAAATAATGTAGTGTTTTTATTCTACTGTCTTACGTAAAACACAATTGATCATAAAAATTACGTTTTTTAATTAAAGACGAAAAAATTAAATAAATGCATTATGTAATACAGACTAAAGTTTTTTGTTCGCTGTTAAACACGAAACTACACAATGGGCTATCTGTGCTCTGACCGTGGTGGGTATCGAAACTGTCGTTTAACAAAATAGTAATTTACAGTAAGCCTACTTGTTATATATTTTACATCTATTTATTTACATATTCTGAATTACACCAGAAGAAAGAAGCAATAAACTTTCTGAAGCAACTGTTATTTCCAAACTTCAGTCTTACATACGTGAGTAATAACCTACTACGTATCATCTAGTCAGTGACCTATACAATGAAAGTGTAAGCTCTTAAGTCTTGTATACAATATTTCTTTAGATAGAACCTGAAACCCTATTTGTTCTGTCATTAATAACAGCACATTGTTTGGATGGCTTAAGAGACTGATCAATTAAAACACCAAGATTATTTTCTTCTATATCACCGTTAAGATTAATCCCATCAAAATTATACTCATAATTCAAATTATGATAACCACATGCGTTACCTTCTATTTAAATATCTTGTTGACTGTTCTATCCTCTACGTCATTGATGTAAATCAAAATAAGAGCAAAACTCCTCACTTTGAGCTCTGATGCACCCCACTCTTGACATTAATCCAGTTTGACTGAACTCCATTGATAAAAACCCTCTGCTTTCTTCCACCCAGCCAGTTTTCTGTTCAATGAGCCAATCTATCCCCACATATACAGAGACAAGCCTTTTATGTGACATCTTGTCTAATTTATTTCTGAAAATCTAGATACACCAAACCCATACTCGTACCCTCACCTATATAAGCAGTAACCTCTTCAAAGAATGTCAAAGATTAGAAGCCAAGATCGGCATGGCCAGGTGGTTAGGACACTCGATTCGCAATCTGTGGGTCGCGAGTTCGAATCCCCGTCCCACCAAACATGCTCGCCCTTTCAGCCGTGGGGGCGTTATAATGTGACGGTCAATCTCACTACTCGTTGGCAAAAGAGAAGCCCAAAAGTTGGCGGTGGGTGGTGATGACTAGCTTCCTTCCCTCTAGTCTTACACTGCAAAATTAGGGACGGCTAGCGCAGATAGCCCTCGTGTGGCTTTGCACGAAATTCAAAAACAAAAAAAGAAGCCAAGATTTTCCTCCCAGTGAAGCCATGCTAACTCTTCAACAAAATGACTTTTCAAAGCATTTTTTATCAAACTTTCAAAACACTTACCACCACTGATGTAAGCCTAATATGCCTATAATTACTGGAACAATTTTTATCATTTCACTTGAAAAGAGGAGCAACATTAGCCAACTTCCAATCATCTAGCACCTGCCAACTATCTAAGGGCGCCACAGCAAAACATTCGTAATTAATCACCCTTTATAACTTAAAATGACTTTAAAACATTTATCTAAGAATAGTATCGATCGATAGTTAGTAAATCTTGGAAGAGGAGGTTTTATTATTGAATAGCTGTTTATAGTCTCAGTAATGGACCTATATATATATAATGTTTCGACGTAACTTATTGTACTTATCCCACATTGCCAGTTTCTAATAAACCAAAAATTCTAAAAGATAACTTGGTTTTTGAATTAAACCGTAAGTTTCGGGCATAATTAAAGCTTAAAGCACACATAACTATGAAACTTAAAAATGATGTGTTCCGATAATATTTAATTTGTAACTATATAAGTTACACTTGAAAAAAAGAGCACAATGTTTAATTTGTAACTATATAAGTTACACTTGTAAAAAAAAGAGCACAATGTTTAATTTGTAACTATATAAGTTACACTTGAAAAAAAGTGCACAATGTTTAATTTGTAACTATATAAGTTACACTTGAAAAAAAAGAGCACAATGTTTAATTTGTAACTATATAAGTTACACTTGTAAAAAAAGAGCACAATGTTTAATTTGTAACTATATAAGTTACGCTTGAAAAAAAAAGAGCACAATGTTTAATTTGTAACTATATAAGTTACACTTGTAAAAAAAAGAGCACAATGTTTAATTTGTAACTATATAAGTTACACTTGAAAAAAAAGTGCACAATGTTTAATTTGTAACTATATAAGTTACACTTGAAAAAAAGAGCACAATATTTAATTTGTAACTATGTAAGTTATACTTGAAAAAAAGAGCACAATGTTTAATTTGTAACTATGTAAATTACACTTGAAAAAAAAAAGAGCACAATGTTTAATCTTGAAACTTGTTCTGACTGTCAGTTCAATATTAGGGATAGCTATGCGTAGATAACCCTTGTATAGCTCTGCACAAAATCTTGACGCAAACAAACACAGACACACACGCGTGCAAACACAGCATTAAAATTCTACAGGCCCTTTTAAATGATGTTTGAAATGATAAATGTATATACGATTCTTCGCATACATAGTAATAAATCAAAATACTTGTGCATTCTTAAAACGTGTCACTGAAAGGAGTTAATTTGTATTCCTCAATTCGCTTCAATTATTCTTAAGGCTATTTACTTTCCTGGTGTTATTGAAAGAAAAAGTTGTTTTCCGTTCAAGAAAAATACTGCTAGTTTTATGCATATATTAAATGTAAAGAGAGAACAAAAGGCTTATTTAGAATTCAATCAACATTTTTGGCTGGCGCCGGGTATCTTCTCCTCAGTGAATTGTCAGTACATTAACCTACACTGTCGTAACCTGGGTTCTTCAGATAATTTCGTTGACCCTCCTCGCCAATGAAACAGACAAAATATTTCATATCTATAGTTTCATTCACGAAAGTTGAGTCAGCCTGAAATGTATAGGTTAAGCATTTATATCTACATACGAAGGGAAGTTAAAGACCAAGCGTGACAAACTTATATAAGCCATATAGTCGATAAAACAAATCCAACACGACAGAAGTTTATCCAGTTCCACTAAATCCAGCTTAAGTGAAAATAACTATAGAGATAGGCTATCTCGTTAGAGAAATTATCCTAACAAGGGAAGATGGAAGTGTAGAAATGAGGAATTATGGGAGCACCTGATGATGAAGAGTAAGCTAGGAGGCGGAGCCTTACGGCGATCTCGAATAAATAGAGAGCGATTCTAGCTAGAATACTACTTTTGTGCTGAGCAGGTGGAACACTTGAACGTCTATTAATTTTTAAACTTCAGGTAAGCTCAAGAGTGCTGGGTCCTAAACGGTTGAATTACTTTATTTCATGAAGAGGAATGCATGCGATTTAGTTGTTTTCTTTCGAACAAATCACTCTATTTTTCATATGTTATTTGTAGTTCGAAATTAAAAATTCAGTAACTCAACAACTTTTAAACTTAACTTAATTTTCAGTGTGTATGTGTGTGTGTGCGTTATTCATGACCTTATAAATTACTTCTCCATCACGGATATCATAATCCCCATAACGTTTTCTCATTTTCATGCATCAGAATTATTGGAAGCATTCTGTAAACACGTCATCAAAGTTACAGTTTAATGCTTATATGCTTAAATAAAATTAGGCAGTGTGGATAAAAAATATTTCAGTTATTATCATTAAATTATGATCAAAACAAGTTACCTACATAGATCGGAACTAAAATGAAACCAATAATGAATACAGCTATTTTAATATACCGTACTTAGACTGATTCATTAATTGTGTAATCCCCTGTTAGCGATATTTTCGGTCATAACCCCAACACTTGCATTAGACGTAAGCTCATTTTGCTAACACACAAGTATTACATATTAAGTATGAAAGATGTTTATGGCAGGTCTAAGTTGTTCATCCGAACTAGTTCAGGGTTGCTTAAAATATATTCAAAGTTTCTGTGAGTCAGTTGGAACATGGAAAATGATACTTGATCCTTAGAAAATGCATTTAGATTAATGTATAGCAATGGTTAGCTTTTATGTATTTAACTAAATTCTTAGCATGAATGGATTACTACAAATTTGAGAAACACAGAACTTATATGTTTTTTAATCAGCTTTTGAAACTGTTTCTTGTTTGATTCTCGACGATTCAGCGTTAAGTTGGGAAGTATGTCTGCGGTCCTACAACCCTAGAAACCGGGTTTCGATACCCGTGGTGGGCAGAGCACAGACATCTTAATGTGTAGCTTTGTGTTTAAATTCCAAACAAACAGATTTCATCACTGAAAGTTTGTACTTATAATTTTAAAATATAGAAAATTATTGAAATAATGAAATCGAAAAGGCTATAAAATACCGAAAAAAACCTGTATCTAAATCTTCGTTTTTCTTAATATTGTAATTTATTTTGATGTGATATGTTTTTCTTCAGTCAAAAACGTAAATGCTGCTTACTTATTGTTTTTCAATACTAATTCAAGTAGTTTTCTTTAGTAAATGTGGAATTCTTCGTTTAAATATCCCTTCTATCAATATTATAAACTATTTTCAGGGATCAATGATGAACACCTTTCTGTATTTCTTCTTCCTGGGGGTTTTACTAACTCTTGCGCCACCATGTGAAAACAGTAAGTATGTAGTTATTTAATTATTTTTGTTAACAGTTAAATTATAAGTATTAACAGTTAAATTATACCTATAACATATTTATTATTGAGCTTAGACTAAAAGTAGCAATCTTATCTTAGAAACTATCTATTTTCAACACAAACAAATTTATGACTAAGTAACCTTTATTATAAATGATTCCTGATAATTTACTCACAGTGAGTAACCACGTAGGAACTCAGTTTGACCTAGTACTACAGAAATAATTATACGTTTTAGTAACTAGATATGAATTTCTAATTGATGAATAAACTATTTTTACTGGCTATACCTATAAACATATTATAGAATTGTGTGGCTAACAATAATTTATAGTATTTCCATGGCTTTAGCTTCTGAAAACATGTCAAACATTAGAATAAATAAAGAGTATCGATAAAGAGTCAAACGACAGAATATGCTTAATTGGATACTTTTCTGATTATTTCTAGTTTTCCGTTCTAAACTATAATATTGTACGTTAGCTTTATAGTAAACAGCCAATTATCTAGACATATATTGGAATCACTTTAAACAATTAACATGGTTATTGTCCATAGTTATCTAAATGATCCCCCTTCTTTTTCAGTGTCAATTAGCTCTACCATGACAACATTAAAGGTCCCAATTGAAGTTGATGAGCAAAAAACTGAACCTTCAACTACTCCAACAGAAAAAGGTCGAGAAACTACTATAGATGATAAACAAGTTTCTCTAGAAGTTAAACATGACATTCAAGATGGCCAGTCACAAGAAGGAGATGTAGAACATGTGGTTAAAGAAAATGATGTGACAACGTCAGTTCCTGTTGATAAGTCGGTGGAGAATGATATACAACCTGGTATTTCAGAAAATATAACCTTGAGTCAGAAAGAATCTGAAGTAGCTGATGAGAAACAAAACAAAAGCACAACGCCAGAAGAAGTAAAAATACCAGAAGAGGAACAAAGTACAACAGAAGTAAAAATACCAGAAGAGGAACAAAGTACAACAGAAGTAAAAATACCAGAAGAGGAACAAATTACAACAGAAGTAAAAATACCAGAAGAGGAGCAAGATACAACATCTGGAGTCCAACCTGAAGAAGAAAAAAATGTTTCTACAGGATAGTATACAACACAGAAAGAAGAAGAAGTTAAACCAACTAACGATTCCCAAGAGCACTGACATGAGAAAGGCTAATCAAGATATTTTTTGCATTTCTTTCCACATTTCAAGATATAATGAAGAAAAATGTTCGCTGTTTCTGAGCAGTGTTGTAAGTAAATATTGTAACTCTCCTCTGATGGCATACAATTACACCCTGTAAAATGAAGTAGTAAATATTTCTACTGTCCTATTTTTAATTCACTTACTTAGTTGTATTCATAATTTTAGTTTTTAATTTTATTCTTACTACCTGACAGTATTGTAACTCATTTATTTGACAACCTTTTTTCTATTTAATGGGTATTTAATTTAAGTTATGATTACTTGTGTTAATCTTATAACCTTTGTGAAGAATGAAAAATGCTCGTATGGCAAGTTAAAAACAAAACAAAAAAAGTTCGCAGTATTTACCAAACTCTTTGTGTTCATGTTTTATAAACTCGGTGTTTGGTGCCAAAAGTGCAATAAAGTGGAGATTAGGGATGTAGTTGGTTATTTCAATAAATGGTTTTGCTTGTTTGACTCATTTGATGATTTCATTCATTTTACAATGAACTTCTAATTGAAAGGAAAAGCGTTCGAGGTTGCTATGTAACATTTTTTAAGACAGTGTTCAATGAAATATCTATTCAGTCAACGTAAATACAATACAAATATAACAATCAGTGGAATTTGGTTGGCTAGCACTACAAGTTAACATTTTGGTAACTCGTTCTGTGTTAGTGAAGATTAGTTACTAGTCTCCAGAAAATTTAACATTTCCAGCAATATAAAACCATTCCTTTAACTAAAGGTGTTTTACACTTTATATACGAACTAAATCTGTTTGTTTTATATTAAAATTTATTGAAAAGAGAATCTAATACAATGTATGGTATCAAATTTATATCTTTGACGAACTCAGTAATAATTTGACTTCAACAGCCAGATTTAAAATAAAGGGCATTACACAAATTGCCAAATAAATCACAAGTTTCGAAGTGGAAATAGTAATATGTCTTACCTGAAGAAGTATTTGAAAAACAAAGAATAAGTGAGACGAAGGAATATACTTTCTATACTAGAGTTAACCTCCGTTTGGGAGTTGATTTATTCCAAGTTATGCTATACATAAAAGAGCATAATATAAATTTGTCAGCGAACGTTGTATTTAATGCTGATACAGACTTTTTGGCTTTTATGGGGATTAGAATGCCAATTTCAGGTGGTTCATCAGTAATGACCTATTTGTATTTTACCCATCTTAGAAACAGCTATTGCCTCACAATCAATAGCAACGGATAATATGTAGTTTACATGAGAAAAGTTGTCGTCCGGAGTGTCTGCATCTGTTTCTAAACTTATGTTCAATATTAAGTAAACTCCATATCTTTCTATAACATTCTGCGAATTGTAAGGTGGTTTAAAACATGAAAAAACAAATGAACAACCAAGTCATGAACCTTCAAATAGTTTAGAAAAATGTGCTTCAGAAGCAGATGGAGGTCCACATCGGTAATCTTAGGGTTAAAACAATGTCAATCACAATTTGATTATATTTTCAAAACGAGACCCAAAACTCGAACGCTTTCGAACAGTTGACTATTCTTCTTCATGAGAATAAAACATACAAGATCTATTATTTTAGTATATAAAACCGCGCTACACACTTTGAGATCGTGTGTTATAAGAGTGATGGTCAAATCTCACTATTCAATTAGCCCACGAGTTGGCGGTGAATAGTGTTAACTAGCTGCTTTCCCTATAGTTTGTAATTCTTTTTCACATATAACACTGGTAACCATTTCTTTGTTTATTATAATATAATTTTATTTATCTCGTGTAGAAAACATGTTAAGAAGCAGGCTTAACCAATAAGGTATCGATACGTTTACCAGAACAACACCTTATGCGACACATGGGCTAAACAGCCAGCTTAGATATTCCTATGGTTCAGGAGCTATCCCTAATTTAGAGTTTCTCACAAGATAGATATATCCAGTCTACAGCACCCGTCGCTTACTCGACAAACCAAGTGGGAATTAGGTATTGGCTTTCAAATGTGCCTTTCGATAGGAACTTTCAATTATAAACGGCCATGTAGAGAATCTCTGCTGCGTTTTAGATTATCTTGGTTGTCGATGAGTCCGGCATGGCCAGGTGGTCATGGGCGTTATAATGTGACGGTCAGTCCTACTATTTGTTTGTAAAAGAATAGCCCAAGAGTTGGCGGTGGGTGGTGATGACTAGCTGCCTAAATTATGGACGGCTAGCGCAGATAGCCCTCGTATAGCTTTGCGAGAAATTCAAACCAAACCTGTGTCGATTCTTCCACTAGAAATCTGATTAAATCAAATAGGATTAGCTCCCAACATCTTAATGTGTCTTTAGAGGATTTTACTTGTCCTGTGTCAGAAACTTCTGGAAGTGAGCGTACTTATCTCTAAATGTATCTACATAAAAGTTTACGTGTTGCTTTAAAGTTTCTGGCTTTACTTTCCCTTTCTGAGGATGTTTTCGGAGAGCGAATGAACTTCCTCTTATAAAATTGTGTTCTTAAATGATTTTACTTTTCATAAATAATTCACGGAGTCGTGCAGAATAGAAAAAAAGTCTGTTATATGGAAATTAATCACCTAAAACGAAATATACACGAGCAGGCATTATATTATCACTTCTGCACAACCCGATAATACTCCGAAATATGAATATATGCTCCTTTCTGCAATAGGAGTGTCCCTTAGTGGGCAGTACTCAATAATGCTTCGAAGTACGAAGATATACTCTTTTCTGTAGTAGGACTGTTAATTTATCGAGAGTAACATGTTATGTTATGATTATCATGTCAAATTCATTCAGAAAATAGCTGTTATGAAAAAAAACATAATATCTTTAGAATATTTCATAAAAAATGTAGTTTCGTAACACTTAAGTGACATGCAGAATATTTTTAGCATTAAGTAGCTTTTAAGTAACATTTTATATTAATATAGAAACACCGATTAATTATGTCGAAAACAAATATTTGTGAATACATCCAATTCCGACACAAGGCCTATTTCCGTAAATACACCCAATTCCGACACAAGGCCTATTTCCCGATTCTCCGAATTTATGTGTAATCCTCCCGATTTCAGCGTTTTGTGTGTGTGTGTGTGATTTTGATTCCTTTACTAGTTTATGATAAAAATACTAAGGCTATCTTCTGCCTTCTCTAAGTTTAAACATCTGATCAGAAGGAAGGCAGCCAATCAGCAGCACTTTACCACCCACCATTCACACTAAAGGATTAGCTATCACTCTTATAACGCAACCAAAGCTTAAAGTATGGAGATTATTTTTTTAGTATTACACAAATTGAAAATCGGCTCGCCAGCTCCCCAATCCAGAGCTCCACTAGAGGGCTCCGTGACCATAATTGGTCATAGCAGAGTGAATAGAGTGAAAACTATAATTTTCGTGTCACTGAAGATGAGGAGGGTTGTAAACCACTAGACAAGAGAAAACGAAGTGACAGAACGGTCAGAATCCTTCGTTACTGATATTCTAGTAATGTTACTGTTGAGAAGTACTTCATGCTAAGTTTCAGAATGTAAAGTTGCATTTGTTAGTATTGTTCATCATATTGAAGAGGATAATGTTCTAAAATGGCAGATGCAATATGGATCCATATATGTTTTAAGCATGTCATGAGATATATAAATGACTGTGTTTGTTTTTCCTGAAATGTTTGAAAAATGTGCTAAATTTAAGGATTTGCAAGACTACTTTTCTATTTCTGATACTGTGCGTATCTTTTCTCTGAAAAATGATGACTGGATCTGATGTTAAAATTCTACAAGTCTGCACATGTTTCACACTATAACTAATCCACAATCTCTCAACACTACTAGTAAAGGACTGTTTTATAGTGATATAGTGAACGACGCCATTAATAGTGTAGCAGAAAGGCTAACCCTTATGAAATCTCCTTACGACTGTTTCCCTGCTGATTTATCGTCCAGTTGTTGTCCTAAACTGTTAAATCATTTGGAAAACTGAGACCCGTCGATTGTCGTGCGTCTGTTGTCAAAAGCGATCGTCTTGCAGTGTTATCTACAATGGTGTACTTTGCTTTGGTCTCCAGATATGCCTGAAAACAAGTCTGCACTTTGCTGACCATACTTTATGGATTTTAGCCATTCTGCAAGGACTTGTTATGTTTGACCAATTTCTAACCTACATCAATAGAAACATCTACATTTCTTTGTTCTAGACCTGGTATTTTTCACTACAAATCTAAAACGGCTGTTGTTCAACTTACTAAACGAGATCATACTAAGTTTTCTTCACTTTATAAGTATAATTAAAATGATCGTGTTAGATTACACATCTGGCCACCTGATACTTATGATACTTACAAATCTAAAACGGCTGTTGTTCAACTTACTAAACGAGATCATACTAAGTTTTCTTCACTTTTTAAGTATAATTAAAATGATCGTGTTAGATTACACATCTGGCCACCTGATACTTATTTTGCATCAAAAGTAAATCAGGGATGACACTGACGTTATCCAAAAACAGTAGTTGTGCCTCGTCTAAGCTAAAATATAGAAAATGTAAAGTACCCTTTAATGTGTTAACCTGTGTATATTCTTGATGTATATACATACTTAATCGTATTATTCTGAATAAGGTGCATCTTTGGATTGTCAGGATATGTTTAAAAACAATATTATATACAATTACCAAAAAATATTTTATAGCTTGATGGTTTGTGTAACATTAAGTCACAATAGAAAGATTAATATGTTTTAATAAATCTTTCTTTACTGGTTCTATAAGGGTTTCCAGTAAGATGCACATAATAACATCAAAACTATATATCTTTTGTACTGTACGACACTGCCGACGAAGCCTTTCTTTGAATACTAGAGCTCATCGGGTCAGTTAGGCATGTAACACACAAAGCCTAAGTTGAAACGCTATTTATAGCAGTCATTTCAAATCTGTATTTGCTTTTATGAAAACACAAGCTGAGGAACCCGTCCTTTGTCCGGGTTATGAAATGTAAAAAATATGGGGGCGGGTGCTATGATAAATAACA